ATATGTATGAAACTTCTGAGAGTTGACTTAGAACATTCTAGATCAGTTCTTTATATCAACTGATTGTATGCCCGCCATTTCCTACGTAACCGTATCGTTAAATTCTTGGTACCTAGTGAACAGGTTTAAAACACAATTATAAAACAATCCTAGTGCTTACAAATGATAATAACGATTATACCGAATAAATTACTTCTATATTTAGTCTGAATACTTCCTACTTAGCTTTTAAACCAGTCATACTTTCGTTATTTTTACTGTTGTATCGCTTCTTAGAAGTTTTCTATGCAAAAAGAAAACCCCATATGATTTATTATTTAGTGATCTGTTTGCAATTTTCAGACTTTTGGTTCAGTTGGTTCCGGTCCTAATGTGGTTTTTAATAAACCTAGCGTTCACACAATTGCTTCTAACAAGGGTTCCCAACCACAGGCTACCGTTGGTTCACATTTACATACTAAAGAGCACCATGCTCAAATGAATGTGGATTTACCTCCTGGAGTGGTATTAACAAATTTATCGGGACGACAATGTGTAGCCAAGTTTGACTTCAATGCTGAGTTTCAGGAGGAAATGTCATTTCGTCAGGGAGATCGTCTTCGATTGCTTGGTGAAGAAGATGAGAATTGGTGGTTTGCTGAATTGATAACTCATGCTTCTAGCGGTCAACCAACTTCTCAAGGCTTAATTCCTGCTAACTATGTCAAACTCTTATCAAATAATACGTCCAATTCTACAGTTACTAACATGCGTAGTAATCCTTCTAAAGTTCCACAACCCTCTGCTCAGATTGCTCGTGCTACTTAACCTCCTTTGTATAAGTATAGTTGCAACGCCAATCTGTGTACGCTACCTTAATATATTTGATGAATCAATCTGTCTAATTTCCCCAGCTTTTGCGTTTATTTTTACCTTTGTTTTTATCTGCTCTTCTGAATGAACCTTCATGTGATAACTATATGGTAAGTGATAGAAACTCATGCTCACTTCAGTGACTGATTCGAAGTCCAATCTGGATCTCATGTGTATTTTCTATCTACCGAAAGTTCATAATACGATCGGTTTTCTGTCAGCAAATTTCAGTTTAAATCTCAGAGTTATTTGAATGCCTATTTAAATGAAATGAATTGTACTACTGAGACTAATTGGTCATCTTATTACCCTTAAGTTTCATGATTTGTACTTTTTTTCAGAATCAAAGCGTTGCTTTGGTTTTGTTTTTCATTGTATTTTTAAATGAAATGTTAGTTTTTCTGACTGATCTACGTTTGCAAATACTTATGTATGTGGGCTAAAATGTTTTCGATGCGTATATTTGGTTTTAGGTTTTCATTGTTTAGTGCATAATTATCCGTGTATATTGCTATTATCAACATACGCACATTTTCTGTAGAAATTACTTTCTATAACAGGCCAATAAATAGTAGTTGTATATAAAACACCCAAAGTTTCTTCAGAAAGCTCACGTCTTTGTTTCGTTGACTTATATACCATCAATTATGACTGCCTCTGTTGTATGGTTTTTGATAAGTCTTGGAATTTGAACTCTATACTCGGTTCCTAAGCTATTCTTGTAACCCCCAAGCTAGAACTATACAGCGATTTGAACACGAGAGAAAAGGCGCAAAGTACTTTACTCCAAGGTTCATTTTAATACAGAAAATATAGAGTTTTTATAATATTTTAAATGTCCTTGGGTTGCTCGAAGATTCGAGAGTGCTACTAAACATAGTAACAGTATAACAATCAGCCAATCAGAACCTCTGCATGTGACGTTTCACTTTCCTGATGTTTCTGGCTAAAACTTCTAGTGAACACTGATTGGATGAAGTGCTTCTTAGTGTTTCCTGATCCTTGCTTGTCTTTTGCGAGAAATTTTCTGGATCACCACAACAGTTTTTTATAGTCTGTTAGAACTAAATTTCCTTTCAAATGGTCATGTTTTTTCGAGATTTTGCTACAACTTGAATAAACACGATCCCACAGTAATATGTTGCATGATTTTAATGCTCAGTGCGAATCGACTAATTAAAATGTAGCAGTTAAAGTGACCGAGAAGAATTTGTCTCACTAAATATGAGAATACAATGCATAGATGGTTTAAAATTGATTTGCAATCCAAGTCTGCTTCACATGTTTGCACTAACTATTCAATCGAAAATATCATTCATAGACTAACTTAGATTATGTCAATTATAAAGTCGTACGAAGTACTCGTTTAGTATTCAGTAAATATGAAATCTCGATTATCATAAAAGAAAGTTACTGTGTCATTAAGGAAAAATTACAGACAGTTCAGGAAGAAAATTTCCCATTTCGACAGTCATTTACTTAAAACAAGCGTATTCGTTGTTAACTTTTAAAAATAATGGTCTATAACAAAATAAGGAATTATGTCATTCATTAAAGCTAACAACAATTCAAATTCTTCGGGTATCGAGTATACTAGTATATCTTCTCGATCTTGAATCCTGGTATCTCTTTATACATATATTTCTATTCTGTCCTCTCAAGGTTTAATCTATATCGTTGCTACTGCATTAATCCTATCTCCTTTTTATTTTCATAATGTCCTACTGATGTAGTATGACAATTTGGGCCAACGGACACCTGCACCAAGCTCTGTGTTGATGTCTGCATAATTAAACAGTTATCAAAAATAAAGTATTGAATTTGCATTAGACTACTATTAATGGAGGTCAACTACAAATAAGGTTGTACAGCCTAAAAAAGTGAGGGACGGTGTTAAAAAATATTGACCCTGAAAATGTCACTCCTCACTTTAACCCTCAGATTTCCGTCTTCGATGGTATGACCTTTTGAAGTGAAGAGCTAACACATCAGAAAAAAACCACAAAAGTGGCGCGCTCGACCGGCCCCAAGCAGTTGTCCCACGAGTTCTGCGGTCACGCTCCCAGTTCGCTAAGACCACCACTAACTCAGCTTCTCTTTCAGGTTACTCAAGAAGAAACATCCTTACACAGTGGTGTCAACCGCCCCCATACATTTTTCCGCGCCTGAGATCATCTCGTTCACGATCGAATTTCTCCCTCATCTCTTAATAATTTTGCCATCCCCACGACTAAACCTCACTTATCTTTACCTCCGCGCGTTACCAGTGTTGATGTTTTGGGGTTCACAAAATGTTATTCCTGGTCTCCTGAAACTACGCTTTTAATGTTCGCACCTTGTGTCAGACAGGAACACAGGCTTCTTTAGCAGGGCACAAGAATCTCGCGTCATCAATGTACGCTACGTTTCCAAAACGCGTGTACAGAATCCAAGTACGGTCATTCATTTGACTTCACTATGTCAGTATAAAGAACCGGCACGATTTACTCTACATATATCTGGAGACCCTACTGCTACTTCACGCAGCATCGTTGGTATAGATATAGAATTAAGTTCAAAACCAGAACAGGCTTTCCCAGAATGAACGGGACAGTAAGAACTCAGAAAAATACGAATACATGCCGTTACCTGTTCGCTTTCTCTGCCTTCACTACCGCTGATTGCAGCTCGGACAAAGTTAAAGATGAATTTTATAGGAAGCTATCCGGTCTCTTTCAAAAAGCTAAACGCTGTGATGTATTGTTAGTGATAGGTGATTTTGATAAAGTAGATAAACTAAACCAAACCGAATGGCAATTAGGCTGGTTTGACGGTGTTGCGACTCTGAATAGATAATGTTTGTCGCCTGTTGCGACAGTGGACAGCCGTTTAGACCTATCAAGGAGACGGGTATTTATTGTCATTACATCCAGGTTTTTAACTTTTTTTTATCTTACTCATACCCTGTTAGTGGATAATTATTTCTCAAGCATTTGTTTTCATCTTACGCAACTTTATTTTGATGATTGAAGTGATCTATTCATATTTTCGACCAATTACAAAGGGTAACAGGCGGTGTAAACTAATGGATTATCACTTAGACGTACGAGATAACATGACAATTTGTCTCAGAATTCGGAAAATGTCATTATTTGTTGGAAGTAAACTCTTCATTAGACGTTCACACGATTGAAGATGTTATTCTGTTTCTTAAAGTCCACTTTCATTAGCGCGCCCTTATTTGTATGAACCATTACTTCGCTATTGAAAACCTAAAGTTGGTAGTGAGTTACATCAACATAAAAATGAATTATATCAACAGCTGGCATAGTTAGAAGTGCGATTTACCGACGAATAACTCATCGTAACGTGATTCAGATACTAACTATTCAGTGGCGTTTTTTCAAACTATAACTTATAATATGATAATTAATCTATGGAAAATAAATTCAGCATGTAAATTCAATTGTACTGGATTTTTTGTCATATAATTACATGTCTGTTCGTGCTTTTTCGCTGTCGTCCAAGAGAATCTGCGGTTAATAAAATTAAATTGCATTGAGACTAGTCAGAAAAACTAAGTGGCACTCAAATCTTTTCGAGGAATTAGGTCCCTTTTGAAAAATCTATTATCAAGCTGCAATCACAATCCATGGAGAAAAATTGTTACATTTGGTCAAATATTCACAAAACTACATCACATTCGGCTCACAAGCTCGTTTATAAATTCAGCATTTAAGAATAGATGGAATGGTCTTCAAAGATCTAGATTTTCAAGATCGAGACTAAATATGTATAACTTCTGATTTCCTACCGTAAACCTTACGTATTCCAAGTGTTTCATTATCCAATTACAACTTAATTTAATGGCTATGAATATGTGAGGAGAGATTTCTTGTGAATTAAAAGGAAGCTTAGCTCAGTAATTTCCAATCATTCAAACAAATAACTTGCTTTTATCCAAATGATATAAATCCACAAACGAATTAATGGGCATTTCTTTTCAGTAAGCTAATTTCAACTAACTAATTATAGGCCCAAATCGATAGTTACATTTTCTCGTCATTACTATCATTAAAACATTAAAAATCTTGACAGATATTAAACGAAAAGAAAAAAGTAGATCATTTGGTTTATTGGATAGAGATAACTGTCAACTTCTTAAAATCTTATCCTTGATATTTCTCGATTAATCTAAGTAGCGATGAGTAAATTAGGTTTACAGCATTTGTACTCCAGAAGTAGCCTAAATGATTGTAAGTTTCAATATAGTTCACAGAGATGATAGTTTTGTTAATTCTTTGTATAAGTAAATCAATACTTTCGTTTGTACATAAATGATCATTTCCGCCATGATAAATGACTGTTGGAATGTTCAAGTTTTTCAGAGTGTATGAAGGAGGATCGTCTTGACCATAAATATGTCTATTCATGTACTGTCCGTAGTCAAATTTCTGTAACAGATGACTGTCAACCATCTATAAAAAAATATCCCGAAAAAATTTCTCACTGTTTAATAAATTAGTTCATGGTATTTAAGAAACGATTTATTAAATGGTTAAAGAAATATCGCTTCACTATGCACCACAATATAAATAAAGGCTAATACGATCCAATAGATTTTCTAACGCTGATGTAATAAGCTATTTCCAATGAATGCGTGAGTATAGCTATCGCTAACGCATCTATCTTAACTTGGCTTTATATGTCTATTTATGATTGAATATTCTGGTAATCGAAACATCGATTGAGTTAAACAATCAAATACATAGAGGAAGAAGAATACTCTGCTTATTCCATACAAAAAAATTAAGTGAAAGCTATAGATTATATGCGAAATTGTTAACATGAGTCATAACACATCGGCCTTTACAAATCATTTACTGACTTATGATTTACTGAAACGAATTCACTAAAGAAACACGAGAGTATTTATAAAACAACAAAGAATGAATGAGAGTACCTTAGTTTGTAGTTACGACTGGCAAATGTTCCAACTGAAGGCTAGTTATTTAAACAAACATAGTAGCGTAATTTTTGTAAGAATCTTTCTTTATAATTCCAGTTGAGTTGGTCTGACTTGACTATCTTCTACTTCTACTTGAACTGTTCAAATTCACCAAATTTTCTTATACCTATTACATCGCTTAGGCTACGTTATAAAAAGTATTTCGTGTTTCTTCTATAGATATTTTCCTTGTCTCTGTGTCATAATACTTGAAGCGTTTACAAAAATTTTTTCATATAAATAGCTTCTGATAATCAAACAAAATGTCTCACGGTCTTTTTACTAATGGTTTGTACTCCGTTCACGTCCAAGAAAACACGCGATATGTGAAATAATCTCTTTAGTATTGTGTTCAACGAATAAATTTTGGAAGCGGTAAAAGACTCGCTATTCACACCAGATGTGATCAACACATAAAGCTTCATTATGATATTAAAAGCTTGAGAAAGCTTAGGTCTTGATAACATAGAAAACCACTTCCCTAAAAGATTTAAAACCTGCTGAGATAAGATTTAATTTGGTTTAAATCTGACGAGTATGTGATGATAAAAGAATAACAACAAACCATACTCATAAATAAAATTCCAGATAATTTAATAATAGAAAGTCAAAAAGTATTTCAAACTGGGATTGTAGTGATAAACCTGCAAAATACTTATGTATTTGGTCACCGTATAATAAGAGCAGAATGTCCTGACTTAGGCTCAATCCAGTGAGGGCTACTCACATACGAGTGAGCAACAAAACAGTGCAAATAAAAGACAACTGGCTATTCGTTTTAAAATGATTTACTCGCGTAAACTACCAAGTGGTAGAAAGTCTTATGGTATTTAACTAAATTACGGCTAACTAATAGAATGTGTGATTAGGTATCAGATAAATTAATATCTGACTTTTTTTAAATGACTAATTTGGGTAGGGTTCAAAATAATACCAGATATATTTAAACGCAACGAATTAAACGGAATTAGAGTACCAAACAAAAGACAAGGATGCTGATTTTTTTATAGGGAATAGCTATAACTTCAGAAAAGAAAAAGTGATTAATAAGAAGATATGGAGATCTGCGGAAAGTTGAATAGCGAAATGTAAGTCGCGTCGTCGTACAGTGTATGACGTTATTACAAAAGCAGTTAACGGAATCCAATCACGTTCCAGATAAAGCTTATCTATTTGCGAAATGTTTAATCAGAATGATAAATGATCACATAACTTCACTGACAAAACAACAGATCATATCTTACCTACGGCATCTACCGGTTTGTCAGATGCAGTGTCACCTAAACCTCTAGCTGTGACTCTAATGAAGCAGACAGTTTGCCGCAAAAAATATGACCATTAGGCTTTTTTATCGAATCCGAATTCAGTAGACCCACCAATTCTACTCTCTTAATACAAGAGTGTGAGAGCCAATAATTTTCCTCTACATGATAGTGAACCAGGTAAAAAATAACTTCCCATATTTTCTACAATTCGGAATCTGAAATTGTTGGAATTGTGAACCGCATTGAAAGTCTGATGAAAACTTCAAAACCTCTCAACATTTGTGCACTCGAATCCATACAGTTCAAGCTTCGAAATTCAGTACAAGTATTTCATTGATTTGCATTCTGATGAAAAGCAAACAGGGAAATTCGTATATGGACAACCTTAACTAATTGAACAAACTTCGTCCGTCATTAAACCCATCAACTAACATGATTGATTAAGAACGTTTGACTTTACTAGAATCTCGAGGAATATATTCAAATGTACTGTAAAGAGGTTGCTTCTTGCATCTAAATCAATCTGCAAGTCTCAAATGCATTTGGCAGTCTATCAGAGTCACCATTCTACATTGAGAATGAAAACGAACCAAAGGTACTCACCACTAGCTTGATGAAACCTGGATCGAACCTACGAGACGAGGAATTTACACTAATCTGACTTCCATACTTGTACAACGGAACGTCCTTAGATCCGTTAAGATAGATCCTCCTAAATCTAACAACATAGTGGTAACCCTCAGATGAGTATATTGAAATTGTTTTTGACTTACAAACGAAACAGATTTTAAGTGAATAAAAAATTGGGTAATTCGTTACAGAAATCCAAAATCAGCATAGAAAAGAAGTTCAAGCAGGTGACTGGTTGTAGGATATATTGGAAAAATGCCGATTGTGAACTACTTACACGGAATACTAAACACATTGAATTTAAACTTATTAAATTGGGTAATAAAAATTTACAATGGTCCATAACATTTAGATCTACATCACACCATTAAATCTCCATTCCTATTCTCGCCTGTGACTCATAATATTTAGTTATTCAGTTAGTGTATTAATAACATTAATTTTATTACTTCATCAAATCGGTACTCTGATATTCAACTTTATTAATGTGTGCTTTTTATTTAAGGATTACCCTGGCATATAACTATAAAAAAGTAATTGGGGTTTAATCTCTAAACTTGAATTGGATGCCATCAGTACTGAAAACATCCTAAAAAGAAAAACTATTAACAGAGGGACTTTTAGGAATGGGATCAAGAGTAAGATTCAGTGAACAAGCTCATTTCAGTGGTGGTAACACTTCCATTTCTGTAATATTTATACATGAATTTCCGTTAATAGGTTATTGATTAATCGGCTTACAGACAATTACAAATGATCTAAGTTTGATCCTTTAGTCAATGTAAAGTTTATCTATTTAAAAAAGTATTGAAACGATATGCTAATTTATTTCAACGCGAAACAAGTCGTTATCTTCCCGCCTGTTACATTTTATACATTGGTGTATGATTTTTTGAAAGAAAACAAGTGTATTGCAAATAAACAGGGGAGATTCGATCGTGAGGGCTGTTATGATTGTAGACAGTTTCAGTCAAAAAATAGCAGGTTCCTTTTTCTCATCGACCCCCAATACAGACACATTGCTACTCACACTATGTTCTATGGGTATGGTCAATATTGTTGCTAACGATTTGTTTAATAATTGTAACGGCTCCTACTGATCGAATTCATTCAGCCTGAAATCAAGATACCTGTTACCCGGATTGACCACCCCACATAACAACTGTTTCTTCTAAGCGTACTGTAGAATTTATCCTTTTTTTAAAATATTTAACTTACTTGGCTAAAATGGACTAGATTTTTAGTCGACGTTCCTGCTGGAGAGTGGGCGATAATAAGTGGAAGACGTGTCTAAATTAAAAGTAACATAGAATCGTCATGGTAAAAGAGTCAGAAACAAAAATGTGTACAAATAAACACCGTTTCTAAACAAAGTACAGTTTTAGTTGTTGATTCAAGATGACTTGACTTACAAAATTGTTTCGATACTCAAAGTACCATTCATGTGAAAATGTTCTCAAAGTTTTGGGAACTAATCACACTGGATATTTCAAGTGTTCTACACATATCTTGGCACTATTTAAGCTGTTCATGATATCAGTACTAATATTTACCTATCGTGGAATAATTGATGTTTCATTTTCAAATGTGTTAACGCATTTTTAGTAAGATAAAGTCATTCAATTTTCAAGTACAAAAACAACTAATGAATAAAATTTAATAATCAATCACCTTTTACTATCAACTCATTAAACAGATAACATGATTTATCCTGAAGAAGTCCAGACAAGTTAGCTGGATGAAACGTTTGAATTATTTAAATTTCAATCGCTGAGATTATTTCAAATATAATTTTCATATATAATGAGATAACATGATTTCCTATCGTTTTTATAGTTATTTCATCATTTTAATATTATGATTATGAAAAAGACAACAAAAATCAAGTGGCAGATCATCTAAGATATTTAGTTTGGTTTATTTTCATATTCCATCAATTCCAGCTGTTAATTTATTTCTATACATTTTAGGATTGAGCATAAATACCCATCTGTTTACTTCAACAATGTATATAGTTCACATATGATTATTTCCTATCCCTTTCAGTCAAAATCTATTCTGATCAACTTGTTCTGTTCAGATAAAATATCATCATTTTATTTTACTGATACTATTGCATAACGAAATAACTTATCTACTATCAACAATTTTGAACTACATGTTTATAAAATTAGTCCTACATGAAAACTACCGTTTCAAAGAATGAATAAGTTCTAAATAATTTTCATAAAGATTAGACAGATAAATTATGAAATTCTTTAACTATGGTGAATTATTTTAAATCAAAAATGTTTTTACATTCTCACCAAATTAGTATTGAAGCCATCGTTTCCAGCAATATTATTAATAACTGACATGCACAAATTTGGGCCAAACCCGCAAAGATACTTTCCCAAAATCTTCATGTAATGATCCGACGGAAGGACTTCACCACGAGTTAAATATTTTAGGACAAACTGAGCAATTATATAATGATGAACTAGTGGGAGGAAAATGCCCTTCACATTTGCGAAATAGCCAACTGGGCCAAAGGCTATAAATAAATTAATATATGATTGTAATTCTGGGTTATCATCTAATGCCGTCATAGCGATAAGTGATCCCTTATGCAAAAAAATAGAAAAAAAAGTACAAATCAGGAATGTAGTAAATATAAAAATTCATATGAATATGTATAGGAACGATGGTTATCAAATTAGGAACCCAATGTTAAAATTGTCTATTGAAATTCTATACAAATTGTTTTAGCTAAATTTTATTCTTTTATTTAACGCTAATAAATGTGTATTATATTCGACGGGTTTTCACTGACGTAGTTAAGATTTGAAACGACGAAAATCGAGCATATATTTGAATCATAATGCACATGCTGGAATTAGTAGAGAAAGATTTAAGATTACTCTTGATCATAGGCAATCTCTTTACTGTCTGAAAGCAGTTGTGAAATATTCACCTTATTCGATTGATGAAAAGGATCTGAGATTATTACTAGTTAGTACTAAACGGGGCCTAATATTTTGTAGTGTTTATCAAGGTACTTGTTCAGACGATTTTTACCTTACCCTTAAAAATATTCCACCGAAATCTCCAAAAATACAGATCTTCCTGGAATTTCTATTATATACTTAACTAAATTAATTTAAAGAATAGTTTAAACAAAACAAATTGTGCGAGATTCAATAGTTTCATTTGTCTGATCAATGTGCTTAGACATAGTTAACGTAAATATTCTGTCTGTATTTCAAATTATATGCGTTACAATGATCTGCACAACTATCTTCTTCGATAAACACTAAATAAATTCTGATGATCCCATCCAAAATCCGAAACAAAATAAATTCTTGGTGTACATGTCGGCTTCTTCGAGGGATCATGAATAAATACTGTTTTACCCCATAGCAAACAATCTTTTATTCCTTAAGGTGTAACTTACTGTAAAATTATTCCAGTCCATTTTACCTTTAGATGCTTTGTAATGTTGAAGATAGTCTTTTAAATAAGATATCTTTTTATCAATATTAGTGTATGAACCAGATATGAGGACATCAAAATAAAACTTACGATGAGCTTAAATTTTCTTTAATAATTCATATAAGTGTAGTCCGTAATTGGACGTACTATATATAAGTGAATAGTTTGTTTAGAACACATAGGTCATAATAGACGGAGGATTTTGAGAGACCCCCAAACATCTTTGATAATCCCTTGCGTTCTGTCGAGTACGTTCAGCAATTAACTGCAATCTGAAAAACAATCTGTAACAGTGACAGGTCTTTCTAATAATCCAACTTTCATATCACGCCATATTGATTGTTTGGGTGCATGACAGATGTGTTTGCTATTTTTAAACATCTTCAGAACAAATATTTGGAATTTCAACTTCACTTCTAGTACAAGCAATCCGCCATGGCGGTCTTAATTTCAGGCATAACTCCAAGAGCCGTTATTTTAAATGTAAGTACTCCGTTTGCATGGTATAGTTTTTCTGCGTTCTTGGATGTAATGGAACATACGGTATTGAATAAACCGAATATTATTATACTCTATTTTTAATGAACTAACACAAAACTCATGAGATTTTTTAAAAAGTTTATCTGAAAACTAAGTGAGTTTATGAATGCTTCCTTTGATAAACTCAGTGAGCTAAGATAACTTACCTAGAGATAATGAAAGGGAATAGCGTTAGGATACTAATTAACTTTCAAATAAACAAAGGTAAATAGTTTACCAGGTATTGTTCAGAAAAAGTATTCTCCCACATTTTTCATGTTTCTTCACAGAAAAAGTGTCATTTACTAAATTGAAAGTGTCAAAGAGCAAGAGAACTATCAGCTCTTTACGACAATAAAAAAACAGTTTTTAATTACTGAATATATAGTGTCTACCTCTGTACATGAAGAATTATAGAAATGCATCTACTAGTATTATCTTACTCAGTATAATATAGAATACAATACACTTATTCACATGTATACCTTAGTTCGAATAGCCAAATACCAAGAACAACTGAGGATGCAATTAAATAAAAAGAACACGTGAGATGTTCGTAGATTATATTGTAAGCAAGCACAGTAAGCAGTCCAACTTGAATCAACAGCAACAGAATTCATCGGGTAGGAAAGTACATAAACAATACTAAATCACAATTGAATGAACGAAGAATATTCTTTTCAATAATTTCTCATCAGGTTCTACAATTATAAATCGACATTAATAATCCATTTGATAACCGTTTTGAGGAATTTATTCAATATCCACCCCTAAATCTACTATATCTGACCTAATTCATATTATTCTACATATTACGTAATTTCTGATTTTTATTCGATTATTCTCTCTCTCACTCCATGTTGACCATATTTATTCTGATCATCAATCTCACAATTTCATTTCACATATAAACTGATTCAAGTTAGCACTTCATATTAGTCAGCCCCTACATTAACGATCTGATTTGATTTTATATAACAAACAACAATTCTTAATTTACATATTACAATTTCTAAATGATGTACTCTGTCTTAAATCTCGCCAATTCTATGGACTATTAATTTGGATTTATAGTTGTAGAACCTGATTAGAAATTATTGAAAAGAATATTCTTCGTTCATTCAATTGTGTTTTAATATAATGGGAATATTTCAGAGATTAAAATACTAAATCATTTCCAATACGTACAGACAATACTGAAAATATACAGCAGTTACTAATTTAAAATATTTTCAATAAAACATGGAACAGTAGTTAGAAAACTGCCCTATTGTGTGATCGATTTATTAAATTATTTTAATTTAAAATACTGAAGCTAATCATAACAAAATATTAGGACTACAATCCCGAATACTGCAAACGTTTATGGAACGTAAAAACATTAACAAATGAAAAACAATTTATTCTCCTTAGTATTGGTTCATGATCGTTCTAACTGTAGTTTCATCTTTTCTTCATAATTACATAATACTGAGAAATCGGAATAACTGTTATGATGGTTTAAACGTCTAAAGTGTTGCGATGTGTGGGAATTTCCATATTTCAGAAGTTTAACAGCTTAACATGTATTATACCTGTCAAATGCTTTAATAGAGTGAAATATTAGATATTATTGTAAAACAAATAAACATAACTGAGGGATGCTTTGAGTAAGATGCATAACCGAAAAATCAACCACTGAAAATGCACGTTAACTTTTTTCTATATGATTTGGAGTCTTCTCTTATACAGACATATTTGGGTGTTTTCTCATATCAAACATAGTAGCAAAATAAATCTACGTTACTACGACTGAAGGTTTTTATAACTAGTTGCAGATATTGATTTACATTAAGAGACGTTTTATTCACTCCAGCAGTTGTCTTTATAGAAGCACTACTCGAAAATAATATAATATGTATTATCTGGTTATTTTAAGCACAATCGTTAATGGTTTTTACTTCTACAGTGAATTTAAAGCTGAAGATCAATAGAAGAGAGCTTAAATTTATGCGTTGTTGTGAATAAACGTAATGTTTATGCATCTGGTGTAAAGTGATGTCTAACAATTGAAAAAAAACTTTGAGTTTACTAAGTAGATATTAAATCACCAAAGGTATACTATGTGCTTACCTGAGAAAATCCAATATAGCTTAATTGTTTCGCCTTAGTAACAGATATAATATATCTGATTGTAGCCGGAAAATCATAACTTGACATTTCTTGCCATGAAAAATCCCAATATTCTTTTTGACTTGAATCAAGATGCTTATGCTTTTTTGAATATGTATTGCCTCTGCTGTTTCCTAGCCACACATCATACCCATAATCAGCCAAAATATATCCTAAACTCTGATTTTTTAAATTCATCACCCATGCATGTGACGAGTCCAACAATCCATGTTGCAATAAAACAACTTTACGCTCTAAAATTGCACAAAATAATGATGTTCCTGATCTTAGAAATGAAACACCATTAAAGATTTAAATTCAGCTCCCAACACTTACTTTGATAAACTGACTGTTTTGTGTAAAGTCGAATTAAACACAGAATGTATTGATCACTGGTAGTAATCTCATGTTCTTCGACTAGATAGCCTTGTCTCCGTATTATTTCACTCTTTACAAGCAAAATGTAAGTTACCCCTCAAAGTAACTACTTACAATATTCATATATATCTCCGGGTCACTTTTAATTTCGAATATAGAATCAACTAGATTTAGATAAGAACACAAATATCCTATCCATCCTATTAGAAAGACAAAAATCATAATATTTGTAGGCGAATACCTAGAAAAAGATTGGTGAGTGCACTAAAATATATTTTACTTATATTTTCGTAGAAACAACACATATGTATATGTTTGTATAGATAACACTTAAACACGACAAAATGAGGCCAGATTTGTTAACTTTGTACTTAAATAACTCAAAAAGTAATATTTATTTAAATATTATATTCATTTTGAAATAACCTTTATTTTATGCGTGTACCGTGGTCTGACCAAAGTGATGAAAAAGTTTGCTTGGTACATCTAAAATTCGTAGATAATTTTGTATGCCAAGCTCAGTTTCTACGACTGATTGTTTGGTTTTTTATGGACATTAATTACGAATTATTTTTATTAGTTATGCAATTATTGACGATAAGACAGCATAATAGTAATAATCACTAACTACATATATATATATATATATATATATATATATATATATATATATAGCTGGTAACTATGTTAAATTTTACTCTGGTTATTACAAGGGGCATCGGCCTAAGAATCTCAACTGTCATAATGAGGCGTCATAATTCTTCCTTCAACCCCCAGGGGTTTAATTTGTTTACTCTGGTTAGCGTTTTTTCAGCAAGGTTGCTTTCTATGGGATGGGTTTCCCGGCCCCATGCTCAACCCTCCTCCTTTGTGTGTGCTTAGGATCGGTGGTAACTGCAGAGGAGCTAAGGACGGAGCTATATACATCTGGTAGCTAAAAAAATTTTAGACTTTAGGACTGAGAAGTCAATTCAGTTTAAAGGACCCATGGTTTCATTGTCAAGAGAAACCTGAAGCTTGAGTTTTCACACTGAGTACGTTTTCTTCAGACGTTTTAGCCTGTTTAAACTATCCCTTTAGTCAATTTTACCATATGATATAAGCATCATCCATTAGAATTTGTTGTTAATCGTCTAACAAAGCATAAGAAACTTATAGTACACGATTTACTAAAAGACGTGGAATACATGAATAAATTGCTCCAAGACTTTCGAATGATTTGTCACAACAAACAAAGAGACATCTCATACATTCTCAGCGGCTAAATGTTATGGTAATTTTTTAATACGATGGACAAGGTTTCAACAGGTTGGAGTGGAAGCAACCTAAAACATTTTCTCTAATAACCTATGACATTTTAATCACATTCGAAGGAGTGATTATATAATAATATGTACAATAATTTAGATATGATGGTAATGGTTCTTTAATCTTATGATATTGTTGATCGTAATTTGAGCATACGTTACTGATTAACTTATATCATACATTCTCAGCGGCTAAATGTTATGGTAATTTTTTAATACGATGGACAAGGTTTCAACAGGTTGGAGTGGAAGCAACCTAAAACATTTTCTCTAATAACCTATGACATTTTAATCACATTCGAAGGAGTGATTATATAATAATATGTACAATAATTTAGATATGATGGTAATGGTTCTTTAATCTTATGATATTGTTGATCGTAATTTGAGCATACGTTACTGATTAACTTATATCAAGTGATAGTTTAATTTATTTAAATCTAACTATTTATCTCTGCGAATAAAACGTAAAACTCAGTGTTGTTTAGATATGGTTTTGGTTTACTTTAGTGTTTAATAAATCCTCATATTTTGTATTTGCAGTCTCATTTACGTCATACAAATCAAGGCTTTCAATATCAGATACCAGTATTCCATGGGATATATCAATTTATTAATGCAGTGAAATATAATGCACAAGATATTCTGTCTAAATATTTCTTTGCATAACATTATATTTAAGGTAACTAATGTTTATTTATCGATCTGTCGAAAACATGATAACTTTTATTTAATGGCGTTGCTTGGCAACGAAGAAAACTAATCAAGCCTAAATCAGTAAAAATAAACATCAAACACTATGTAATCATCCAAGATCTCATTGTCCGCTACACTAAATTGTGAATATAGTAGGTAAATTAAGATACACATGAAAAATAAGTATACAGAAGTGAGAATAAGACAGATCTGCATGTATACGATGTTCTTTTGTAAAATAAAGTATTTTCAACAAAGGTGAAACTGAGTGGATTAAAATAATCTGATAAAGTCCTATTTATTCAACAAGGTTCATTGCGGTAGATTACAATTTAGTTTTAAATGTGTTTCAAATTAACCTTAAATGGTCGAAACGTATGTAAAAAGAATTTAAACCAAAAGATTTTTCTAGAGAATTTCAGCCCAAATTAGTAAATGCTGATTCGATTCCAAAAAGAATTATTAATTCTTCCATTGAAAAGCAATGAAAATATTTTAACTATAAATCAGATTAGTAGCCTCAAATGAGTTACAATCAACTCATTTTAAAAACTACATTAATTAAGTCATGTGACAAAGGGTTCCTGAAGTTTCAAAACATTGTCTGATTTCTTAAGTAACCATATAAGCGGTGCGACCACAAGATTTTCCCTTGTTAGTCTCAATATTAAGGAACTCAACTTCTATTCATACCGTTTTCCTAATTAAGTGCTCCTGATAAGTGGTCCAACCTAGAACATTCTAATATTCTGAACTCACTACACTTTCAGATGGTAACATGCTAATTCTCAGGTTAACAGGAGCTCTGTTGATTCTTATTGACATCTACTTGTGAATAACAGTCACATACTGACTTATGGTCAATGTTGGCGAATCCTTTCATTAGTTAACATCAAGGCAGTCCCTATACTTACTTGGTCTCAGTTTTGACGATTCTCGACTCTTTCTGTGGTGGTTATGTGAACTGAGGTAGTTAACTTCAAATTCTGTATTATCAAGTCTAATTATATGTGAACTTGTTGCGTACTCCATTTGGGGAAATTCAGTGTACTTTTGGATCATTTGTTCGACACTTTAATAACCTATATAAATACAGGATTTAACCCGCTAGTAGTCAAAGCTACATGCACATCACCGAAACAGAAACCATTTTAGTTGTCTAAGCATTTCGGTAACTGACAACCAGTATACAAATATCCATATATACACCCAAGTCCGCATATTTGCTATTCTACGCTAAGTCGAATACATGTTTCCGTCCATAATTGATATTTATGATCACTACTACACTCCAATGAAGACCTTAAACCAAATCAATCTTAAGCAGACGAGGTGAAACTATTTCCACCTATATCCTAGTTACAATCTTGCACATCCTCCAAGACATTAAAGTATGTTGAGTTATACCGATTAATTCCACTTCTGTAAAGCGTATGCATGCATTTGCATAGGAGTGACCATGAATTTCGAAATTTTCATTTGAGTAAGTGAACGATGAGATAGAAGGTTCTATAAGTTTCAAAACATTATCTGATTTCTTAAGTAACCATATAAGCGATGCGACCACAAGATTTTCCCTTGTTAGTCTCAATATTAAGGAACTCAACTTCTATTCATACCGTTTTCCTAATTAAGTGCTCCTGATAAGTGGTCCAACCTAGAACATTCTAATATTCTGAACTCACTACCCTTTCAGATGTTAACATGCTAATTCTCAGGTTAACAGTTCTGTTGTTTCTTACTGACTTCTAATTAAGAATAACTGCCAAATACCGATATTTAGCCGCTGTTTTTGTTTGCTTCATGACAGTCACTAATTTCTGTGCAGTCAGTTTGTCTCTGGGTTACGACTATTATAAATGGCTGGGGGCATCCGTTTTACCAGCAACGATCACTATAATGAATGGACGTACTATCTTATTTTTCCACTGTCGTCATTACCTCGGTTATCAGACATACCAGCCAACTTCATCTATGCTTGTCAGTTCGGATTCCTATAGTGTTGCACGCGTTGTAACAATTCTGCCATCGAATAGACAAACTAGGCTTCACATTATGAAACATCTCAGTACTCATCTGATGCCTCAGTTCCATGTGTTTTCTAATCTGATGTGAAATACGAGTTAACGTGTACATGGAAGACCCTGTATTCAGTCATGCAGTCTTATAACGATTTTAAGTCGGTTCTCTACACTCATGACGCAGGCAATGTGAACTCATAGAATATTAGAACTGGCAGGATTCTCGAATGAAACCGTGGTTTTACGTACCGAGTCTTAAGATACGAAGCTTTTTGATACAAAGGTGTTTGAAAATATTCAATTGACACAATTCACTCATGCACAGATCTTTGAGGTTATTACTGGACAAACGGCAGATAAGAAGCGCTAAAATTACGAGCATAGTAACGTTTATTTTATAAGGCACAAATTACAAAATTTCCACTCATTAAAAAGACGTTTATTCGTAGATCGAGCTCTGGACAACCAGAAAGCGCCTTTACGTTTGCCAAGGAAAACTCGAACCGTATGGCTGCATGTAGTAAGAGTCCCAGTTTGCCTACAAATTAATTATGAAAATCCTTTTGAGGTAATAAAATAGACTTCTAAAAGCAAAAACATCCTCGGTTTGCGACAGGGAACTCTATTCTGAGGATGCACGTTATGACGCTACCACAGAATTGACAACATTGCCTGATATCCAAGAGATTGTATAAACTTTGTTAATCGCGTCCCATGATCAGCGTTTATAATGTAGTTCAATCCAACAAGGTAAACGGCAAAGCAGCGTTACGTGTCGACAAATGGGCAACCACCAAATAATATCTAGTTTAGGCGAGTACTATCGATACGAATCTAGTAGTTGCGTTACATGCAAAGCCTAGTCATGGACAGAGTACGGAGTAAAATGCAACGCGCCTTCAGTTTACATGTTACTAAAACGAGGTGTGATGTATTATCTGCTACCAAACATAAATTCTTGAATAGATTGACTGATAAACTCATACACTGAGAACATTCAACCAACACAGTAGTGCAACCTGAAAATGTATTTAAAAATGAAGACATAAAACGGGAATTGTCACACGGCATAAACTGGGACTTCAGAAAAAAGGGAGCA